GCCTTACAATGGCATGCGAGCCTCAGAAAACAAAAGGGTTAATTTCTCTGCAATCCTTTTCTCCAAGTAAACAAAGCACATTTTCCTACGTTCTCCATAGATCAATTGCATCTTCCGCACAGTAGTGCAGGTTAAAAAGGTCAGCCACCTTTAAATAAGCCCTAATTGACATTTACTTCCCAGAATGAGGGTTATCAAAGGTTAAGGTACATTTCCCTAGGCAGTTAGTGACCTAATTCTAAACATCATTAATCCAATTCACTCTGAAAAATAACACTGGCCTTTTGAAAAGCCTACTATGCTGAGGTACATGGCTGCTGCTTTTCTGGAGGTGAACCGTGTTGGATTCCTTTGCCAAGAGCTGAGGTCATCTCTCATTACCACTCTTCAAACAATGCTGATGTTTAGCACCTGTTCTACTGTGCTCTTCTGGTTTTGGTTTCCTGAGTGCTGGGAGCACCTGTATGCTACTGTCACTCTACTTGCAGGTCAGTGACAGCTTATCCAGTTCCCAGTTGCATTCCTCCACCTGTTCTCCACCTCGACCATGGTTAGCAATTACTCACTCAGAGTATACACTAGAGCAGTTCCTGGTTTACCTGTGCTGGAAATGCTTAAGTACAGGTAAGGGTGTCATGGTTTTGTCTAGGGTAGAATTAAGTTTCCTTACTGAAGATTTTGGATCTTTGATGAAAATAATGGTGATAACACACCACACACCAGTGTTTTAGTTGTTACAGAGCAGTGCTTACACACAGCCAAGGGCTTTTCTACTTCTTGTGCTGTCCTGCCAGCAAGGAGCTGGGGGTACACAAGAAGCTGGGAGGGGACAGAGGTGACCCAGACAGACCAAAAAGATATTACATACCATATGGCACTGGTTATAAAAGCTGGGGTAAAGAAAAAGGAAGAGAGGGATGTTCAGAGTGATGACATTTGTCATTCCAAGAAACTCATGCATGACGTTCCCTGCTTTCCTGGAAGGGGCTGAGCATCTGTCTTTTTAAGGGAAGCAGTGAATTAATTCATAGTTTTGCTTTGCTTGTGCGCAATGGCTTTTGCTTTATCTAGTAAACTGTCTTCATCTCAACCCTCGAGTTCTCACACTTTTACCTTTCCAGTTCCCTCCCACATCCCACCTGGGGAGAGTGAACAAGCAGCTGGGTGGTACTGAGCAGCCAGCTAGAGCTAAACCATAATAAAGGGCTATAGGCAATGATCCACTTGACTGTCTAACTGCACAAATTCCACTGTTAAGTAGCTATTTATGAGTTTTCTTGGCAAGCTGACAGAGCAAAAACTCAGCTTCTAGCATAGGTGAGAAATGATCAGAGAACAACCTACAAGTATTTTATTCTTCACTTAATTATGGACATGAGCACCCTACTCAGTTGTGTCTTGAAACTCCATCTGTGCTACAGAAGGGACTCAGAATCTGCCCGCTTGCAGATTGTCCAAAGCTTCCTGTCTGGCAGCATATCATCCCTTCTCACTCTGCTTAAAGGGTGGGTGCTAACTAGCAGTCCAATTGACAGGCACTAAGCAAAGTGGTCCAAAGACAAGTCACAATAAAACAGTGAATCTTTATCTCCTCCTGGTGGTGGAACTATCTGTAGCTATCTGTAAGCACACTGTTGCCTTCTAGCTGGTAAAAAATCCATCCAGCTCTGCTGATGGAAATCCCCTTGGTACAGTATAGAATCATATGACTGTTTGAATTGGAAGAGACCCTTAAAGATCATTTAGTCCAACTCTCCTGCAAGTCACAGGGACACCTACAACTACATCAAGTTGATCAGTGCCCCATCCAGCCTTGAGTTTCTCCGGAGATGGGGCTTCTGCCACTTCTTGGGCAATCCATTCCAGTGCTTCACTATCCTTATTGTAAAAATTTTATATCCAAACTAAATCTCCCCTCTTTTAGTGTGAAACTATTTCCCCTTGTGCTATCACAAAAGACCCTGCTGAAGAGTCTGTCTCTTTCTTTCTTATAGCCCGCCCTTTAGACAGTGGAAGGTGCTCTCAAGTCTCCCCAGAGCCATCTCTTCTCGAGTCTGAACTGCCCCAGCTTTCTCAGCCTGTCCTTGTAGGGCAGGTGTTCCATCCCTTGGATCATTTTTGTGGCCCTCCTCTGGATGTACTCCAACAAGTCCATGTCTCTTCTGCACTGAGGACTCCAGGTGAGGTTTCACCTGCACAAACTAGAGGGGCAGGATCACCTGCTTTGATCTGCTGGCCATACTTCTTTTGAGGCAGCCCAGAAGTAATGTTCAGGGTGAAACTGTGGGGATGGAAAGAGTGAGAACTGTGTCTTTCAGAGCCAGCACCTCATCTGCTGGAGCTGAGCACTTCTTGAGTGCAGGCAGGATCGTGAGGCCGCAGGCTGTAAGTAGGAATAGAATGCAGTGTCCTGGAGGCTCTCCTGCCTGCTTACTGCAGTATAGTCAGTCACCACTGAGAACCTAAAAGAACAAGAGGTGGATGACAAGGTGAGCCAAAGAGAAGTCAGGATAATCAGCTTGAAGTAGAAAGCAGCAAAGATGGGAAAGAGAATAGAGTGCTGGGACCTCCCAGAAAGGTACATACACTCCCATCAGTCCTGTAGTACTCCTCCTATTTGCAGCTACAGAGGAGACTTTGAAAGAGCTTTTCCTTTTCTTTTTAAACAAGATTTTAGTAGCACCAATATGATGAGTACCATCTCTCAAGGCAACTCACATCAATTCAGTTCCCGTGGCTTTGAAAAAGAAAGCAGGTCACATTTCTCTCAGGATTACTTTGATCTGGACAGGTGCAAAAATAGATTAAGAGTAAAAATAACCCATACTGCAGACACAATGTATTGAAATAGTCTCCCCAGCAAAGAGTTCAACACTCTGCTTGAAATGCCTGGTTAAATCACAAAATCCATAAAGGACAGCTTGGTATTGAGAGGTTCAAAGGCAAGACAGAGTGTTTATTAGGCAAAGTAATAAGGCATGGCTAGTATCACTGCTCCATAATCTTTTCTAGATGGCATTTATATGTGGCTACTGATAGCCTGGAGCTCAGCAGTGTTTGCAGAAGCTAGTTCTTTATTTTCACCCAACTGATTGTGCGCCATTATGGCTCAACAACAGGGATGTCTGGATGGTGTCTGATCTCAATCATTTCAGTTGATCTGAATAATCAGCATAAAAATTAGTGAAGTCAGAGAGAGAGAACAAGAGAGAGAAGAAGAAGAGGAAAGGAGAAAAGTACTTTTCATTGTATTCTTAATATTCAGCCAAGATCATGTTCTTTTTGGGTTTCTGTCCTGCTCAAGAGAGAAAGAAACTTTTGATGGAAAGAAGGATATGGGTGTCTTAAAAAGCTGAAGAAATAAAATAAACTTCACAAAGTGATTTACCAAAATTGCTTTTTGTCCCAGTTACAAAATTAATTGTCAGGAAAAGGAAATTCCTTGGACATTAAGTCCATCATGACTAGCTCAGACCAAAGATCTCTTCTCCGACAGGGGTCCCAAGCCCATAGTTAGGGAAAAAACAGAAGTAAGGAAGGTTTAACTGTTTTTTCCCTTTGCATCGCTTTTCTCAGGTGACATAAGTTTATCAACTTTCTGAACTGTTGGTTATGTCTGTTCCATCCTATTTAACAGCTACTAAAGCATCCTCTGCTGTCTTTCTAAAGTACCTTTGCACTTTCCATAGCATCCTAAAACAAGAACTTACACTGTACAACAGTGTCTGCATTGCAGCTGACAGGAAAGGTCTGGGTCCTATCAGCCTGATTTTTGCCCTCCCTGGGAAAACACCCAAGGTTACACTTGAGTTTCATGAAGTATTTCAAGCCACAACAATTCCATCAAGAAAATAAGCTACGTGAAAATTTCCAAAGACCTGCATCAACCAGGCTCGTGAAACAGAGATCACAATCTCTATCTCTCGCCACCTACTTGTGTATTAGTGTTTCACAGAACATTGTTGCTTTGGAGAAGGAAGTGTGCACTTTTCTTTGAAATTGAAGAATTGTGTGCTGCCTTAGCAAAGAAAATGAGGTTCACTGCAAAAACCGTAAGGATGGACAAGACGCTGGTTATCAGATGTGATCACAGCACACTGTGTATCAGTGTGAGTCTGGTAAAAATAAGCAGAGGACCCACAAAGGTTTTTTTCTAAAGCTGTTAAAACTCTTTATCAATCAGCTTAGTAACAGGCTATAGAATGAGATCCCAGCTGTTTTAGGTTCCTTTTAACTTCTAGTTCAGCCATCAGTTCTGTAATAAACAGAACAGTGGTCACTGTTGAGAAATACAACAGTCCTACTCCTGTGTAAGAAGTAAAGCATCACTGAGGTGCACAAAGGTTCCAAATTTCAATTCAAACGTCTTGTAAATAAGCCTTGGCCTTCTACTGTAAATCAGGGTGATAAAAAAGCAAGTGTTGCAGCTTGATTCCCATGATGGCTATTTCTTTTTTCTTTTAACTTCGGGAAATGCCATCCTACTCTTTACACATTTGAAATATTAGCACTGTAGCCTATAGGACATGTTTCAGGACTTACTAAAAGATAGATGTCGTTTTTCTTTCCCTTTTTTTTCTTAGTCTTTTGTAAACTGTTTGCTAATGACTTTCTATTAATGTTTCAGATTGTATTTTACAAAGCAATGCTATGAGTCATACAACTGAACAGCCAAATAACAACTGCCTTTCATTCGTATTAGCAATATTTTATCTAAATGAGAAAAAAAATAATTCAAGAAAGATCCTCTTCCCAAGTCTCCCACTATTATTTCACTTCATTCTACTCCATTTTTCTTTGTCACAGTTCATTTCTGAAATAAAAAGCAAGCTTTGGTTATGGCTGAGAAGCCATATTGAGAAGTTTCTCACTTTCTGACCCTTACATTTTTTTTACTGGAATAACTTGGAATAAATCAATTTATGCAGAGAAAGCAAGAATCTCAAATTTAGTTCATTAATATCTTCCTTCCTGCATGTCAAGGCTAGGGAGACCGTAGCAGATCTTTTCATTTAAATGTATTTTATACCAGGGAACTCAATGCCAACACGGAATTTAGGTGGGGAAAGAGCGTGTTGTTGCATTTGCATTGATAAAATTGAGTCAGGTGAACTGACACCTTGCTGCATGTATTACAAAGTAGTAATATTATTCTAGAATTGCTGGAATAATATTTCAACACTTTCAGAGCTACCCCTCTTTTAACTCCAACCATTTGAACCAAATTAGAAGACTGGTTTTCCCCCCAAAGTCTTTTTTTTTAACAGAACTTGCTGAACAGACTGTTGAGGAACTGTTAGGTCATGGCTTGAACCAGTGATTGTGCACCTGGTGAAGAGATGCAGCTATCCTAGGGAACACAGACAAATTGCTTGCACCTGTACACAGGCACAGCTTGTACCAATAGACCATAAGTGGTAAACCCCAGGGTGGAGCTACCCTGGACTCATATAAGGGCCAGCTACAGAAGGGAGAACATCTCTTGAACCTATGGTTTCCTGAGGAGCACTGTATTAACAGAAATCTCCTTCACTGTTTTGGTGAGTTTGGCTCTTCTTTCTATATTATTGACATATCTGTGAAATATTTTGCCTGGTATTGTTGTGAACCTGATAGTAGCAATGTCACTTCTTTGTGAGCAGAACACAGCTGTAGTCTACCTTTAGTTACAGTACATAGTCTCTGTACTTTGCTCTTTCTGGACTTTATGTCTAGTAAAAACGAATGTTTTATAGAACTCAAAATAGCATTATACATTACAAGAAGAATGGATATGTTCTATCTCTGGCTGAATAGGCTATATGCATTATTTGAAGAAGGAGGATCTCTCTTAGTACTACTAAGAAAATGCATTAGTTTAATAACCATGTGGCACATTTGTGAGGTGCCAATCATGCTTCCTTTCTGATGTACACAATTGCTCCAAAACTAGATGGAGTAAAAAGAGGCAAGTGTTTTTCTAAATTTGTCTTAGTTCTAATTGTTTCAGGATTTGTCTTTGTTGACCCAGGCTTTAAAAAAGTTGTTACTATTACTGTCAACACCTTGAGCAGCCCTGCTGATTTCACTGAGTCTTCTTCCAGCAGGAAGATGCTACCAAACAGAAGTAACAAGCAGAGTCTGGCTCCTAACAAATTCCTTTGCTAGCAGAAGTGTGAGATGATTTTCAATGGACTGAGCTTAATGTTAGTTCTGCAGCATGAGGCACCAATTCATTGGTACAGGAGGCAGAATCAAAGCCAAACAGCAGCTCATCTTTATATAGGTGCTGGTTATAGCCATGTAGTTCCCTTATCTGTAAGTCACTCATGGAGGCTATTGAGCCATCCTAGTGATCCAGGATCACTTACACATCAGGAGATGCATTGGCTCTCTTCTACATCTTCTTAAATTCACAGGGCGTATGTAAAAATTCCAGGTGTTAATTGTTATTGGAATAGAGATGCTCTATTCCTGTAAACCTAAATTACAGTGTATGAATAGAAACATTAAAAGTGATTGATCAGCCAAGTCTAGTGCAACTCTAAAATGTCTGTCCTTACATTATCTTTCTCCAGAACTGCTCTTAAAAATCTGGATTACATTGTTCATTTTCCTTCCTTTACCTCTCCTTTCTGTGGTTGGACAATATCAGAAAGAACAGGACTGATTACCAAGAACTGCAGTAGTTCACTTCATCCATATTTCAGAAAGAAGAATGCAAGTGAGGATCTAATTTTATAGTGTAAACTACATCCCCAGCTGATGCTGAGAGTATTAATGAAATCTATCCCAGCCATTAACCAAGAGGTTGATGTGGACTACTGACAACAAAAGGAAAAATATATAATGAGAAGGAAACATACTAACAGACTGTCTCTTAATGGTCCTCCAACATCTCCTCAGCTAACAAATACCAACCTATATTATGTCATCTTTAGATGCTGTACTCCTGGAAATCATAGATGTCAGTCAAAACAAAGACTATATCACCTAGCAGAATGTCTTTCAGAAAACCTCTAGAAATTATTTGAAACTATTGGGGAAAAAAAAAAACAAAACATGGTGATGCTTACCGGGAAGACTTCTCTAAGTCTTCCAGAAATTGGCGTGGCTAGAAGATATCCAGCTTAGCACTGAATTGTTTTCTCTCAAGCTTCTAGCAGGTACAGAAAATATAATTTTCTGTTGCCTTTAAAACTTATGGACTTTGCTCTGAACTACACTTTTGTTCTAAGTATTGTACAGACAAATGACAAGTCGAAGCTCTAAATAATGTGAAACTGTATAAGGAGATTTCATCCTGCCTTTTTTTCCCATACCACTTCTTCTATAGGGTAGTGGCAAGCTAATTCCCTTCTAGCTATATTCTGTTCCTAGCTGGAGTGCCATGGTCACTCACCACCTCCTCCTCCAACGAGCTGTCAACTCTTTAATTTGTGATCACTCTCAAAAGTGTCATGCAGCTCATTCTGCAAACTGTGCTGAGCTACTGATGCTTTTAATTGTTGCTTTTGTTCTGCGTCTAGTCAGAGCCTGACCTCAGGGCAGTAACTCCCCTGCATCTGCACACTGAGGAATTCCAGAACATTTGGGAGCCTTTGGTGAGGCTCTCTGGTGGTTGTGCATCTCCTCCCCAGTAAGTTTCTATAAAAGAACATGGGTAGAACAGCTGGCTGCCCTGCTCCCACAGGGCCTGGCCTGCCTCCCCACTTTCTCTCTTGGACCCCAGGTGATGAGTCAAGTTCCCTTGGTCCCTTACACATCTGTGTGTCTGTCTATTTATTTGTCTTCATAAAACACCAACCTTCCAAATGTGGAAGCAGTCAGTAGATTTATTTGCCTCAGCTAAGAATTGTGACATGAGTGATCTTCTCACATTGTCTGCAACATCTCGTGTCCTCTGACCTTCAAGAACAGGAAGACTGTATCTGGAGAGAGCTTATTTCCTACTGTAATTTTCTCAATTGCTTTTTTCTGTTTTCAGACTCAGAATATTTTTCAGTCTTATCTAGTACTACTAATGTCTTCTACAAGATGATACTGACTATAGCAGATAAGGATGACTAGCAATTATTTTCCCTTTCTTTTAGTTAGAGGCATATAATTCCCTGCTGTCTAGTCCTGCAGAGCAGATATATAAGAAGGTAAGGTAAATACAAAATAAATGTGGCTGCTCCAGGGAATGTGCGTATCTTCATCTGTGAACAAGCATCTTCCTATCTCCTTTATGTGCCAGTCAGGGAAAAAAAAGCACAATCCTGTTCCTCACACAACAGTTTATTTTCCTCATCATCCCTATTACAGTTTTGCAAACTGAATTCATTATTTGGCTTTTTTTTAAATAGCTCTAACTGCCTTGATCATTCTTTGTTCTGCAGGAAATAACAGAATCAGAGAATCATTTGAGTTGGATCCTTAAAGGCCATCTAGTCCAGCTCCCCTGCAATGAACAGGTACATTGTTGTGGTTTAACCTGGCAGATGGGGGAGAGGAGAGGGGAGTAGAACTTGTGAGTTGAGATAACTCTTATCCTTTTCTCTTAGTTTTATGATGTATGTATGTAACAAGTGATTCACAAGCAATTACTCACCACTCAGCAACCAATGCCCAGCTATTGTCCCCCACCCCAAACAGCAGAAAGGAAGAGATGAACCAGTACCCCTTTCAAGATTCCTTCTGCATGATATGGTATGGAATGTGTTGGCCAATTTAAGTCAGCTGTCCCAGTTTTGTTCCCTCCCACTCCTTGGGTCCTTCACTGCATATAGACTTGGCTTTATACAATGTGCTTAACAAAAACTATAAACATCAGTGTTATCAACACTGCTTTTCTCCTAGAACCAAAGCATAACATCATACTAGACATTCTGAAGAAAACAGTTCCATCCCAACTGAAACTAAGACACAGCTACATCATATTGCTTGGAGCCCTGTTCAGTTTGACATTGAGTGTCTCCAGGGATGGGGCTTCAACTACTTCTTGGGCAACCCATTGCTGTGCTTCACTATCCTGATTGTTAAAAAAAAAAAAAAATCCTTATATCCAATCTAAACATCCCCTCCTTTAGTTTGAAACCATTTCCCTTTGTCCTGTCACCACAAAGCCTGTTAAAGAGTCTGTCCCCTTTTTTATTACTTTCTTGTAGTCTTTCTCCTTTAGATAATGGAGGTAGTCCTATGATTTCACTGTACAGAGACAAAGGTCTTGTTGCCCAATTCTAAAAGCCTACAGGTATGCAAAATATTTCCAAAGACAGAGCTTACAGAAGGGGGGGCAGAAATGAAGCTGTTGCATGAGACAGCTTCCTATTAGTCTCCAGGGAAATGAACCTGTATCTCCTTATTTAATATACACAGATGGCAGAACTTGAGCCTAGTCACTGTTTGTTTGGTTTTTTAAGACTTCATAGCAAGATATTGATAACTCAAGCTGCTTGAAGTTTACTTTGGAGTGTGTAACTGTCCTGATAAGATGTGGCCATACCTTGTTTCTACAGGATGCAGCCTGAAAGAAGGGATGTAATTCTTCAGAACTTGACTTAATTCTCACTTAAGCCTAGTTACCTCATTCTCCACAGCTACCACAATGCAGACAGCATATATTGCTTGTTTTATAAATAAACCAGAAATACTACTCTGTAATCCATATTCACCCTGTTTGCCAGTGCTGGGTTGCTCTGAAACGAAAGTGAAATGTTGCTTACAGGTGGTTGGCCTTTCTTTACAAGCTTGAGCATGGACCCATCAAGGAGACAATAACCAGCCCTTCAGTACTAATGCTAGTAAAAATCTGAAACATGGAGATGCCACAGAAGATCTTGCTCAAGTCTGGCACGTGGTGCATGGCACATTGGTGTGAATATCACGCTCCTGCATTGCAAGAATCTTTTAAGCTAAAGGAGATAAATGCTGACTATGACATGAGGGCATAGGAAAAAGGGAAGGTAGTACAAGTGGAGAAAAATCAACAGAATTATGCAGTTGCTTTGAAACTACATTTATAATTTAATAGTACTTTCTGCTTTGGAAAAAAAAGTTATCTCAACAGCCTAGAAAATTTCCTTTTCTGAAACTCAACATTCAGGATTCCCGTCTCAGTTTCACTACTGTGTTTAACACTGGAAGGAAGATACAGTGCTATGACAGATCTCTTGTTTAATATTTCTTTTTGTACCAGTGAATTGCCAAAGGCAGTTTAAAATCAACTAAAAATTGGAGGTCAGATTCTGGTGTAAATAAGTCTAGCATTAAAAATTGCTGAATCTCAGTGATTTACATGAGTTAAGACCATAGCCTGAGATTTTTCTTTGTTTCTTGTCATGAAATAGGCTATGTTTCCAAATGGAGGGCTGGTTTCTGGCAGCATACAAAATAAATCCTTATGCTGCTAAAAACAATACCAGTGACAGAAGTGTGAGGTATTATATCTTGTGAGTAAAGGAATCAGCACAATGTAAGCTCTAGGCTTAGTTGGTGAATGGCAGAATAGAAGGATGTGATTCTCACTGAGTAATATTATTCTACCACACACATGCTCAAACTAAAAAAAAAATAAATAAAATAAAGTATAAAGGCTACTGCTGGCAGCTGTGACAACAAAGGGTAACTAGTACAGTTGGATTTCTCTAACTTTTCTAGAAACAAACAAAACTTAGACTAGATACTTGAAAGAAATGTGGAGGAAAGAACAAGCAAACTAAAACTTTATCTCTTATTATTATGTTATGTTAGGACTAAGAAGAAAAAAAGCATCTGGAAAGTGTATTATTTAAAAATGTCCTGGTCCCTCCTGTTTTTACTCACCTTTGGGTGCACAAGACACAATATTGCTTAAAGCTGATGGGAATTTGATTATAGTTCACAATTATGTCTATATATAATCTCTTTGCTTTAGCTATTATTCTATTAAGTAGCCTCCTAAGGTAGATTACTTCTTCCTGCCTTCTTCTATTCATCTCCACTGTATCCCAACAAGAAGATGAATTGGTTAATCCTAAGGTCCTGACATCATTTGCAGTGTTTTTCTCCCCTACTTTCATGCACCATCTTCATTCCCTTATTGTCATTTACACTTCTATAGTGCTTTCCCTCAAAGGTTGTCCCAAGCCAACCAATGAGCAAAGGAATCTGATGCTTCTGACATGGAGTTTCCTATTCTGATGCATTTTTCTATTTGCTGTTAATGCATTGGAAGCTGTTATTTCTAACCATCCATTTGTTTTCTCTGCTTGTAGAGTGGAGAAACAGGCTCTTGTATCACATTCTTATGGGATACAAATCACACAAAATTCAAACCTTTATTGTGAAGCTGGATGTTTAGGTGGTCTTTGTTTTATTTTCTGATTAAAGAAAGTGTGTGTTTTAGTCTTTTCATTTGTTTTGAAAACTTCAGCTGAAGGAACAAAAAGTCTAAGGGCTCCAAATTTTCTTTTATGTATCCAAACTTAACTTACATTTTGAAATAATCCTGCCACATAAGTTGGGATTTCCATTCTGGAAAACATTTTTAAATGTTAAAAAGCTATTTTGAATTAGTTTGAAATATAGAAACTATTCTTGGAACAAAATTTAGAAATCAAAATTATTGTTTTGTCAATGTTTTATCATTTAGAAGTTCACATAATATATTGAATTAAAAAGAAAATAGCAGTTATATAATTTCATTCCCAAATCTTACTAGAATATATTCCTTCTTAATAACACTTTTTTTAGTATATCAGCACTTTCTAAAGACATCTGCCTTCTTAGAAAACCTGTAACACATTTTATTTACTGTTCCATGATTTTCACAAACCTGAAGTAAGATTTTGCATTAGCATCTGCCTTTCTCCTTTAGAGGGGTGGGAAGGGCAAGCAAGAGAAATAAAGTGTACTATGTCCTGAATTGTAAATACATGCAAAATCCGGTCTCTCTAATGTGCCTTGTGGTAACTCTTGCAGGATTTTTTGGCTAAATATGCTACAATCTGTTTCTTTTGTGTATGAGACATCAGCTGAGGTGACAGGAGAACAAAACCTTGCTCTGAGTTTCTAAGTACTAAATATCAAAATAACTTCACCTACAGGAACAAGTGAAAGTGATGTGGGATGAAAGAGGGTTAAACCAGGTGTAAGGGTGAATATTAGGCCTAGAGAAAGGAAGGGTTCTTTCAAATCCACTGACCTCATGGATAATCTATCATATGCATGTCACATACCATCATACTTACCATAGGAGAACAATCTGGAAGGTGTACCATGCAGGTATCTAGTATGTCCCACTACTCCACTGCAAATGAGAGACCTGTCTTGGAATTTTCCACCAAAGGCTGAGTTTCAAACTCCTCTGTGCAAAACAGCTGTAAAATTACTTCTAGACTCAAACTCCAAGTTCTGAATTTCTCTTTTATCTGAGATAATTCCTTCTTTCAGACACACTGTCATAACAATTACGACAATTTGCATTGGAACAGCCAAAGAAAGGCAAATGATGGATCACCAGAGCACAGTAAAAGTGCTGTGGTAATTAGCTCCTTCCATGAAAAATGTGCAATTCCAGGATCAACCTAGAAGCAGCAAATGGAAACATCAGACAGATGGGAATTAGAGGAACCCAAAGAAACAAGAAGACAACTATTGATAAGCAGTAAGTAAGTACACCCTCTAGTGGAATATCATTTGAACAAGATAGTAGTTTGATTTCCTTGCTACCTTGCAGGCTACATAACTAGCACATTGCAGCAACCGTAAACTCAATTTAAAAGTCTTTATGACCTGCTTTATATTTGCTTTGTGCCACTGGGACAATGCTAGTCAGACAGTGCCTGCCTGTGAATCTAACTCTAAGATTTTGGGCCAGGTGGGAAATAAGCTGGAAACGCAGCTGATTCTTAAGAAAGATATGTGAGATTCATTGCTATGCAGGATGAAATCAAAGCAGTCCAAGTCAGGGTCTGGGGTCCCTGGCTGAGTTTTTGTTTCAGAAAGCTGCCACTTCCCCTGGTAAGTGCCACAGCAGTAGATAACCCCACCATGTCTTCAGACATTTTCTCTTTTTTCCGGGATAGAATGAGGAGACCTGAACCCTCATAGAGTCCTCCAGAAGCCAATTAGCTGCTCTCTAAGTTTCCCTGAAATTCCACTCTTTTTTCCTACCAACAACTCACCCATTTCTAAATCACTGTTGTCCCTCTCCTCCATCCCCTGAGCAATAACTGAGAAGAATCATAGAATTACTCAGGTTGGAAGGGACCTCAAGGATTATCAAGTCCAACCGCAGCCTAACCATAGTACCCTAATTCTAACAACCCTCTGCTAAATTATATCTCTGAGCACCACATCCAAACAGCTCTTAAACACATCCAGGGACAGTGACTCAACCACCTCTCTGGGGAGCCTATTCCAATGCTTATCCATCCTTTCTGTAAAGAAATGTTTCC